ACCGGGGCGCGGAAGCTCCGCCGGCTCCGAGCGCAGCCCAGAGCCCGCCCAGGAGCCGAAGAAAGCCAGGGGCAACGAGGCTCCCCATCCCCCCGCCCTGAACCCCGATCTCTCCCACCCCATCGCTCTGCGCGGCGCGCGGACGGTGCGCGCGGTGCAGGGTGCGCCCCGGTTTGGAATCCACGTTTCAGCACTTCGGACAGCGGCCCGGGCGGCCCGGCCCCTCCGCGTGGGCCATGGCGAGCGTTCAGCAAGGCGAGAAGCAGCTCTTTGAGAAGTTCTGGCGAGGAACCTTTAAGGCTGTGGCCACCCCACGTCCTGAGAGCATCATTGTCGCCAGCATCACAGCCCGCAAGCCGCTGCCAAGGTAATGACCTCCTTCTTAAGAGGGGAGACCCTGATGCTCCCCGTTTTCTGGCCTGTGCCCCAGAGCCCTGAAGGGTGGATGCAGACAGCTGGGCCGGACGGGGTGCCTGCCTTTTGCTGTCACTGCTCGCGCGCGCTCGCTCTCTCCGTGTGGCTGGCACACGGGAACCAATTGCTTGTAGGAGGTGGAGGCTGGTGAGAAGGGACAGAGAGTCTTGAGCGAGGAGCAGCACGGCGCTGTGCTGACCTGGCAGCTTCTGTTCAAGCGATTTCGCTTGCTTAGGGTGGGCGGTGCAGGTGGGATACGACTTGACTGAGAAACTTTTCTTGGTGTCGCAGAGCTCAGAGCACGGGGTGGGTGGTGGTGGGGGGAACATGGTGGATTTGAGGTGGCCAGAGGTGTACCAAAAAGGAGCAGATGCGGGCTGGCCCTGCTTGAGCAGTGCTCCCAGATAGTGACACACTTCGCTCAGCTCAGAAACTAGCGAGCTCTGAAGGTTTGGACAAAAGCCGCCTGCCCATATGCTGTTCCCTCAGATGCACCCCAAACAGCACCCTGCTCCCTGCCTTTCTGGCTGCTGTTGCTGCTGAAGCCTCTCCTCCCCAGCATCCAAAACCAGGAACTGAGCTGAGGAGTCAGGGAGGGGCCTCCCGAGATCACGGAGATGGTCTTGGAAGAGTTTTACCCCGTTTTTCAAAAAAGGACCGGATTGCTTTGAACTCGGGCAGGAGGAGAGGTCCTTAGGCAGTGCTGGTGGACCTGGTGTGATGCGGGGGGGAGGAGGTAAGGGAAGAAATGACCGGGGATGCGGAAAGAGGCAGAAGGGGATGTGGGGTGAACGGAGGGAAGGCTGAGCAAAACCAGAAGCGTTCCAGGGTAGAGGAAACCCAGCTCTTCTTTTCATGAATCGCTCGATCTAGAGGAGTTTGAGAATGAAAGGGGAGAAGGCTGTGCCCCCTGTCAGGGAAAATTGAGGCAGTAGAAAAACTGATAATTTGCTGGAGTTGGGTGAGTGGTTTGGTGGGAGACAAAGAAAGAAGTGGCCCAGGGGAGACCACTTGGAGGGTTTGTTAACCCCGGCAGGCAACATTAAGGGAGCACATTGAAAATATGCCTGGGAAAGTGCTCCAGACAGAATGCCCCTCCTGCGACAACTGAATCCGAACTTTCCAGCCGCTGCGGGGCGGAGGGCTGACAGGGAAGCCTCCCTGAAATCGAAGTTCCTCAGCCTGGGGAACTTTTCGAGGTCTGATAGGGACCCGGCTCAGCTGGGTCTTTAGAAAAATGGGTGCCCCACGTTGGGAATGGGCGGACAGGGTGATGGGCCAGCAGGATGTAGCAGGCGGCCAGTATCTGTGGATGGGAAAGAGGGTTCACCCTGTGGCACAGGCCAGAGAGGGAAACCATAACACCAGTGCCATCCAAAGCTGATGTTTCTCTGCTTGGAAGGAGGCTCTTTGTAGAGAGTTTTGACGTCAGCAGTTTTATCTTCTTGGGTTCCTGCCATCCGGTCCACCTTTGGAGTGAGTGCACCTACTGTTGGCAGATCAGGTGCTGCATTGGCCAAAAAATATGCCCTTGTCGAAGGGACTAGAGGCAATCTTCACGGGAAGCCAGAAGTGTGGCATTTCATCCAGGGTCACCTGTATATTTCAGGGGTCCAGGGACGGGGGAGCAGATTCCTGGTGGTATTTTCGTTCTGAAAAGCTTGCCTAATGTCCGCCTGGCTTGGTGATGCCCTCACCCTGTGCCTGCTGGTCTGTTACTGACATGCTCTTTTCTTGGTTGTATTTTCAGTCCCACAAATTGCCCACGAGGTCTCCCAACTCTCATGCTTTTCGTATCTTTGTATCAACCCCAGTCTCATCCATCTGAGAATCTCACAGCAGCCAACCCTCCCCACACAGGGATTATTTCCCG